GTGTTAGCCAGGATGGTCTCGATCTCCTGACCTCGTGATCCGCCCGTCTCGGCCTCCCAAAGTGCTGGGATTACAGGCTTGAGCCACCGCGCCCGGCCACTAAAAATAATCTTAATGACCAACTAGTTATCCCAAGAAACAGTCCTGCCCCACCCCACTCAGGTAGAGACCAGAACTACCTGAGAAGGGGGCGGAGTGGGAAGCGGGACAGCCGACCTGCTGCAAGTCATCAGTCTGCAGAACTTGACAGTTCAAGTCACAGCCACACTTTGTAATTCAAACAGGTATCCCCAAAAGATTTTCTCCACCAAATACGCACTTCCTCTTTAAATGTCCTATGCTGTTTTTTTTTTCCTGTCTACTTGTATGTTCCACAGTCACTGTGTTTTCAGGATAGTCTCGCGAGCAAAGCGAACTACAAACATTGCTATTCATTATTTCATTTTGAAAATGATATTTTTGGTGGCAAACTTGGAGAGGTCAATATCTCCTGAAAAGTTCTAATGCAAACTGGATAAAATTCACCAACCAGTAGAAGAGTGGCCTTGCCTCTCCGGAGGGGATCCAGTCTCCCGCTCGGGCAGTGGGGGCTACTTTAATCTCAAATCCACCACGATCCAGCTGTGTGATGGGGGCGGGTTCCCCTTCCCAGCCTTGTTTCCTCCCTACAGCCTGTCAGTAACTCCACTTTCCATCAGAAGCGTTACTGTCTGCTCAAACGTAACCACTGGGGAAAGTGTCCCGCTGTACACAACAGTGACACCCCCACGACCCCACCTCTCCCAGGGACAAACTGATCACAAAGAAACGTCAGAACATTTTCAGCCATCAGACTTCTTGCCCCACCACAGCAAAACTACCAAAGAGCAGAACAAAACTTCAGAGACCCAAAAACCTTTGCAACTTCTTACTGCTGCCTCATGGTGACAGGATTAGTTTACTGCTTATCACTTTCCAAAAAACAAATACTCTTGTTGGATTAAAGATAAGAAAAGGCTCACAATGGCTGAGTGCGGTGGCTCACACCTGTAATCCCAGCACTTTGGGAGGCCAAGGCTGGCAGATCACTTGAGGCCAGACCAGCCTGGCCAACAATGGCAAAACCCCATCTCTACCAAAAATACAGAAATTAGCCGGGCATGGTGGTGCATGCCTGTAGTCCCAACTGCTGGGGAGGCTGAGGCACGAGTCACTTGAACCCAGGAGGCAGAGGTTGCAATGAGCCAAGATCGTGCCACTGCACTCCACCCTGGGCAACCGAGTGAGAGACTGTCTCAAAAACAAATTTGTTTTAATTAAAAATAAATTTTAGAAAAAGATAAGAAAATGCTTACAATCAATACACACCTGCGTTTGTTGGGGAGAGGATAAGGGGCTTTTGAAGGCTTTGGCCATTATTCGCTTGATCTCCACACCAGTGCTATTCTTAACACACATTGATTTATCCCATTGGATTGCGTGGTCAGGCTCTGTGGGGTTTAGCCAGGCCAGTTCATCTTCACAAATGTGGAGTGGAGGCGGTGGACGAATAAACTCTGGTCGAAAATGGCCTGTAATGAGAGCAGTGATAGTTGCTCCTATCAGGAAGCTAACATGTCTACACATCTCACACATTTCACTTAATAAAGTTCACAAAGAGATCTCTTAATAAGGATGACGTGACTAAAACTCTTATACTTCAAAATCAGAAGCAGGAATGACACAGGAAGGCAGGGCTTCAGTCAGAATGCAAACAAGACAATGAAAGAACACTATACCAGCGTGATGCCAGAGAACAAGCTATTCATTTTTGGGGAAATGAGGAAAGCCTGGCCGTGGCCTGCCCACGCTGTACTTAAGCATGACCACTCAACAGCAAAAGGGCGCGACTGCTAAACGGGTGAAGACTTTTGATGAAAAAAATGAAATACTATGTCCTCACACATCCTATTCTGAGTTACCACTATTTGTTCTGCTTTTCACTGTTTGTTCAGTCGCCACTGTGATCTGTACTAGTTTTATCTTTGCATCTTATAACTGAAGTAACAAATTATGTGGTGATGAAACAGCAGGAGGAAAAGTATGGTTGCCTTTTGATATTTTGAAATGAATGTGGAGACCGTCACAAATCCCTAAATTCACAAATGCTGTATTTATTTTCAGAAAACAATATCAGTACAAAAGGAAAATGAAGTGGTTCAACTCGACTGTTTCATAAAACAAGATTCATCCCTGAGTTACAAACCCACTGAAATAAATGCTGGCTAGGACTTCTGCTGAACCAATTTCACATCTCACATGGTTTCCACATAGGGCAGAAGTGGCTTATTCCTATCATGGATCCACATAGGGCAGAAGTGGCTTATTCCTATCATGGATCC